ACCACGCCCGGCTAATTTTTTGATTTGTTGTAGAGGTGAGGTCTCACCAAGTTGCCCAGGTGGGTCTCGAACCCGCGGGCTCCCAAAGGCGCGGGATGACAGGCTGAGCCACCGAGCCTGGCCAAGGGTTATTTATTTAGGAGAATTTAGAGCACGGAGCTGAGACCTGCCTGGTGTTTTACACCGAACCAGGCCCCGTCAGCTGTAGGAGGAAGACTTTTTCTTGAGATCTTCAGACAGGGGTGTGTGTGTATGTGTGTGTGAGGACCTGGGGGGATCCCCAGGACGGAGGTGGCGCTGGCTGGGCGAGGATTTCCTGGGCTGAGGCCGAGCCCACCCCTTCATTCGGCCTTCCAGGCCCCCTCCCCCACTGGCCCCCTCGTGGCAGCCCTTATCTCCTGGCCCACAGCCCCAAGTGCCCTCTTCTATCGGCGGGCTTCCGAGGACAGCCCCATGGTGGTGGTCTGGGTTATCTCTGCTCCTCAGGGAGGGCCAAGTAGGCTCCGGGGATGCAGGGTGGCCGTGGCGAGACGTCGGGCTCCTGCCCAGGTCAGCAAGAAGGTGGCACCTGGGAAACAGCCACACAGTCCTAATGACCCCTTATTAAAGCCACAGTCCATGCAGGGCCTGGGACGGCCATTGTTCTCTGCGGCCTCGACACAGAGCTCTCGCAGGCACTGCAGCTGTCATTTGTCGTTCTGCTGGAGACACAGGAGTCCCCAGGGGAAAGCAGGTGTCCCCGGGACACAGGTGGGATCTGGACATGGCCCTGCCAACCCCACGGCCCTGGCTTCACCGCCCGGGCTGAGAGGCTCAGCTTCTGCCTTCTGGCCCTGGTGCCATGAGCCTAGCTGGACCCCCTCTCCTTCCTGGGCCTCAGTTCGTGCATCTACAGGGAAACTGTCTAGGTCTTCTTCTGGACTCTGACACTTGAGAGTAAGGGGGCACATGACAGTGACTCTGGACAACAGGAGGAGGCCAGGATGTGGCTGGGAAAGACGGGCCCCGCGGCTCCCGGTATCGCTAGGAAGACGTGGGTGCTGGCGCTGGTGCTGGGCCTGCCAGGAGCTGACGTTGGTTCTGGGGATGCTGGGGCTGGCACTGGTCCTGCTACTTCTGGAACAGGTGCCGCTTCTGGTGCTGATGGTCCTTGTGCTGGTGCTGGTGTTAGTGCTGTTTTGGGTGCTGGTTCTGGTGCTGGTTTTGGAGCTGGTTCTGGTGCTGGTGTTGATGCTGGTTCTGGTGTTTCTGGTGCTGATGGTGCTGGTTCTGGTGCTGGTCCTAGTTCTGGTGCTGGTGCTGGTGCTGGCACTGGTGTTGGTCCTGGTGCCGGTGCTTGTTCTAGTGTTTCTGGTGCTTCCTAGGCCCACATGAATTGAGCTTCCCAAGTGCCCTGTGTGAGCAGGCTGGCCTGGCTGGCACACCCTCACCAAGTCACCAGAAGCTGCCGCAGGGCCCTGCCATCCCACCTTGCCGCTGAGTCCCCCGACCCGTGGGCTTTCACGTGTGGGCAATGCAGCCGCAGACAGCACACGCTCAGGTCCTGGGGCTGCCTCCTCACCACACAGACACCCCAGCCAGTTCCGGGAGTCAGCTTTGTGTTCCGTGGGATGCTGGGACTGCTGGGGTCTGCAGTGGGTCCCCGTGAGAGCAGGGTGGGAACCACTCATCTCTAGGGTTTCCGGGTGGACAACGCAGGTGTGACAGGACTGGTGTCAGGAACGTCTGGAACGTGCCAGAACCCTCTGGCCTGCCGAGGAGGGTGCTGCTCCCTGCCCCATACGAGGATGCTGAGACCCAGAGAGATCCAGACGCCCGCCCCTGTTGTCTCTGAGGGCAGAGAGGCTGGTGCTCGCACGGCAGCCTGGAAGCACCTTGGCCCCAGCGATTCTCGGGGCGTGCTGAGGGGTGCCGGATGGTTTGGGCCGGAGATGGACACGCCTTTTATCTTCATCTTTCATTAACTTGCAGTAGAGAAAGACCACCGTGGCACAGGACACCTGTGACTTTGCATATAGGACGCATGGGGTGCAGGTACCCAAGTATATGAGAGTTCATGTTGAGAGCATAGTATGTTGACAGGTGGCCCCAGCCCTCCTGGGGAGCTCGGCCCTGGGGCGTGGGTCGTCCTTTGGTCTGTGGTGCCCTGGCTGTGTGGCTCCGGCCATGTCACTGGCAGTTGAGTCTCTGAGCTTGAACGTAACAGCTTTGTCCCCCTTCGTGTCTGCTGTGACTTCTGCTCATCCTGCTCCTGCCCTAGTCTGGAAGTTTCACGGTGAAGTGACCGCACAGCTTGGTGCGAAGCTGGGTTGAAAACAAGAAGACTCTTTCAGTTTTATTTGTTGAGTCGGGGTCTCACTCTGTTGCCCGGGCTGGAGTACAGGGGCACAGTCACGGCTCACCGCAACCTCGGCCTACTGGGCTCAGGCAATCTTCCCACCCGAGTAGCTGGGACTACAGGCATACACCACCACACCTGGCTAATTTTTTAATCTTTTTGATAGAGACGGGGTCTCTCTATGTTGCCCAGGCTGGTCTCGAATTCCTGGGCTCAAGCGATCCTCCTTCCTTGGCCTCCCAAAGTGCTGGGATAAAAGGCATGAGCTACCACACCTGGCTCTCTGTGAGACACTTCACGAGCACCCGGGTAGTGCTTTCCCTGGGGTTTCGGAGAAAACCTAAAAGAAGCCCCTCATGTGACTAGCATTCTTCCGTTGCTCGGCAGGCATTTATCGAGGGTTTCCTGCATCCCAGGCTGTGCTAGCAACCCGTAATAACACCTCGAAGCCCATGCATTTTGGTGGGGTGGAGGGGGTTCATAGGCAAGGGGTGGCCTCGATGAC